CCCACGTGTCAATCATCTTATGACATCCGATTTTCCTATTAGCAATCGGGTCTAAATTTGCACATTTTTTTTAATTATTCTCCCAAGTATTTTATTTTAAATCTGACGAATCAGCAATCGAGTTTGGGTTCAAACTTCAACCAATGAGATCGTGTCCAGTTTTCATAACATTGGTGACTTTAATCATACCTTGATGTCCTCGTAATACTCTCCAAAGTCAAAAAAGTAATACTACTACTACTACAAATAATTAATAATTAATAATATAATATGGAATTTCACCCAATAAAGAAAGAAATAAAATAAAATAATAAACATGGAACGAAATGCCAAACTTTATTCGAAACGAAGAAATTAAAACCGAGTACACGAAGGGTGGAATTAAAATCAATGAGAAACACGTTGTACAGATCACAACTCAAATACGAAAGCATAGCATGATCTCATGTGTGCGGCGGCGAATCTTATTCCAAAGAAAACACAAAGAAAAAAAAAAGACAAGACAGATCGACAAATGCATGAATGATTCCTTAACTTATTCAAGAAGCAGGCGCCGCGGCGGCGGCGGCAGGTGCCGGAGTAGGATTCTCGATGATCTTGATGCCACCAATGGTAACTCCAGGGCCCTCGTGCCTGGGAACCAGAGTAACAAGAATGGTGTCATCGTCGGTCACATCCATATCCTCGTACACGTCGGTCAGCTTCAGCCTGATCGATGTTGTCGCCGTCTTCTCCTTCGTCTTGTGCGGAATCTGCGCGTACGTCCCGGCGTACGAAGCCTTGTCTATCTCCGCCACGTTGTCGTCCTCGTCGTTCACGAACACGTCGAACTTCAGGAACTTCGACGTGTCGACGACGATGTTCTCGATCACCAGCAGCTCGTCGGCCTTGCCCTTCTTGGTCTTGGGGAGCAGCACCCTCACGATCTTGTCCAGTACGATCGGGAACACGGTGTCCTCCACCTTCACGGTTGTCTTGCCGGCCCTCGTAACCTTCGCGGACGCCGCCTGCGCCGGCGGCCTGTAGTCCAACCACGGCAGATCAACCCTCTCGTACTCGAACCCCATTTTCAGATTATCAAGACAGTCCTTCACGGTGACTCTCACGAGCTGCGCGTTCTCGTCGTAGAACAAGAAAGCCGTGTTGAGGAAATCGGGATCGGTGATCTTCTTGTCGGGGATCTTGTTACTCGGGAGGAAGAACTGCCATAGAGTCCACATACGGTCAACGTTGCTGTGGTGGCTGTAGAAGAGTGGGTCCCGCCCGGCGGAGTAGAAGTTTCCCATGTCCTCCCCGGCGGGCTGGTTCTTGTAGTCACCGACGAAGGCATGGATCGCGGTGTGGGACCCACGCTCGGATGAGCCCGGCCCGGGGTTGACAGGTGTCCCCTCACGGTACGCCTTCCCCATGAAATCGTAGACGTCGGAGTTACCACGGACCATCTCGGTGTACATGATGGTGAGATTGTTGGACACCACCTGGAGAGGGTCGGTGCTCCCGGTGAAACCGAGATCAACCACCGCTGGCGGCATGTTGTCGGGGTTGCGCTTAGCGTCGTAGAGAGCCGACTTAGGGTCGATGAAGGCGGGAGGGATGGTCATGCCCTTAGGGTTGTCCCAGTTCCAGAACGGGAGAGCGAATGTCGGGTCACCGATGAGTTTGCCGAGGATTCTCTCGTAGAAGTAAAGGTACCACCTGTGGAACGGGAAGAAAAGCCACCCGTTGTGGACTTGTAGATCGAGCGTGCCTTGCCCCGGTTGATCGTAACCACCGTTGCAGTAAGCGCAGTGAATGTTGGCTTGCTGCATGAAGCTACGTGGATCGTCCTTCGGGAGACGCCTCATGCGGTCGACCGCGGTGTTGAACTTGAATAGGTATTCGGGCGAGAGACGGTGGGCGGACGGCCTCACTTTCGTCTTGGGGAAGTTGGGGAGCTTGTAGTCGATGATGGTGCCGGTGAACGGCGGGCAGCAGTTGATCTGCGTCGCCACACCGGCGCTCGTGTCGTAGGTGGAGTTCCCGCACTTGTCGATCTGAGGCGCCTGAATGGGGTTCGCGGATGCGGAGTCGGGGGTGGACAGGAGGTTGGCGGCGCCGTACATGCCTCCCAAACCGAGGAGCATGTTCCTCCTGTCGACCTTCGACCCCTCGTTGGAGGAGGAGGAGGAGCATGAGATGAGGCGGCGGTGGTGGTTGCGCTTTGCATGGGTGAGGAAATGCGACGGCTTAGCGAAAACAACAGGGCGGGTGGCGGTGGAGGAGGAGGAGCGGAGGGAGGAGGAGGAGGGGGCGGCGGCCGGAAGGACTTGGTGGAGAGATGCCATGATGAATGGCTTTTAGTGATTGGTTGGGGATATAAAACTTTGATAAAGTTATACCCTTATTTATAATGGATTGTTTGTAGTGCAAAAAAGTTAGTAGGTGAGGGTGAGTTGGTATTATTTGAATTTGTTCGATAAGGGGGATTAGGTGGTGATTAAATAAATGAATTGAGCATGATATCCGTGTTTAAGAAGGCCATTATTTTAAACAAAGTGTATGGGGATTCTTAACAAGTTCACATGGAGTGGGCAGAACAAATTGTACCTCTTACTATTTTATAATTACCCTATGGTCAAATCGAATTAAATGTAACATTATGAGGGGTGGATGGATAATATATAATCCTATACTTGTGTAATAAAAAATATAAATAATACCATACGATAATTGAATTTTATAAAAAAATGTATTCCACAATATTAAAACAATTACTTGTATAATTTAATTATAGAAAAAAAAATTAGGCAACACAAAATTTTATAAAAAAAAAAAATCCATATATATATTGGTGTGTGTGTAAGGTAGATGGATTTTGCTTTACTCTTCCCATAACTAACATATAAAAATTCCACATGAGTATGTGTAAAAAAGAGACATTTCCAAAGAGATTATTAAAGAAGAAAAAGAAGACTATCCGATGGGATTAGGGTTTTGCTAGCTAATTTGCAAATCTGATTTGCTATAAAAGTCAAAAAATGCTGAAAAATGAGAAATAAAAAAATAATGTTGTTATTAATTATTTAAAAAAAAAATATACCATTAGGTTTACTAATTAAATTTGATCATACGATAAATTTGTATTAATTGGTAACTCAATGATAAGTATCTCTACAAATAGTATACAAAAAAATGCACGTGGAATAAATTAAACAATAAATTAAAAGATTTGTAACACAAAAGAAATTAGCCTTGAGAACTGGTCAACAGAACTTAAGTAATACCAATAGATAAAACAATAGGTTTTTCTGTATATGCCACGAATATCCACCTCACTGATAATTAATTACACAACACAATATAATGTACTAATTAATCTTTTAGTGTTATAGACTATATAGGGAATAGTAGCAAGTGTTTGATCTTACACGATAACGCAGGCATTTATTTTGGTAGGGCCCACCACACACGTTTTTGCGAGATTATATCGGTTACTAAATAAGTGTCGATTTTCACAGTGGTACGAGACTTAAACATTTGAATAAATATGTCACATGTCTTGATTTCAGGAAAATAAATATTGATATACCAAAATATGCTTATTTAAATTAATGCAGAAAGAATGTTGGAGAAATAATAAGGATATAATTGAAAAAAATATAATTTATGCAATATTAGAATCGTAAAGTGGTAGATAATATAGAACAAATGAATTTGTTTAAAAAGAATGATATTGTGAAAACATGGTGAGTAATGACAAAAAAAAAAATCACAAATGCAGAGTAAGATAATTGTATACAAGAAAACATAAAAAATCTGCAATTGCTAATGTAGTGGCGAGTTAGTTGAAAGACCACTTTTTTACTTCCAAATAATTAGAACAATTAAAATATTAAGTATATAAGTTAAATTATGTATAGAATTAGTTACTACTTCGCTAAGATTATTTTAAATAGCTGATTTGGTCTTAGATTTAATAAGCTGTTTTAAGAGTTGATAAATTGTTACGTTTTATTTTTTTTTAGAATTAAATTTTAAAGTATTTAGATAACGAGCTTATAAGTTGTTTTTATTGATTATAAGATCTTAAATAAAAATGTAAGTAGATTTACACTAAAAAAATCTTATTTGCTCTCCAATAATTTATTTTTTGAATTTGTAAGATTTTGTGAAAAAGAATTACCAAATGTTTTTAGAGATATTACAAGCTTTTAAACATCTTATGAGCTACTTTTAACATCTGATAAGATTAGCCGAACACTATATTACCAAATCAATGGTAAAACATTCAGGTTAAAGACTTGTGAATAACTTTATATCGAATAAAATATTAAAGTAAGGATTTTGATTGAAGACAAAATAAAATCTTAAAAAAGGATTAGTTCCATTTGGACAAAAAATTTGCCGCCGGGATAGATGGCTTATGAGATCATACACCTGGTGAAATACACCATGCGGTTTTAAATAACAAATATATACAAATAACTATCTATTAAGGACACATACACATGATTGTGTGTTATTATGTGTAAATCAATTGTGTAAAACTACATGATATATTTCACCATATGTAAGTTCTACAAAACCGAGATATATAAATACTTCATATAATATTAAGATGAATGATTTCCTGGAAAAAAAAAGAAAGAAAGAAAATAACAAGCAGCCTTGATTTAATTAATGGAGCCACTAAATGCCATATGATTAACATATTTAATTGTCAGCGCTTCACAAGCTGGCCTTAACTATTATCAATCTATATTTTAAAAAGGGAAAACAATATTAAAAGATTAAAATAGATCATGATCTATATTTAATTTACTTTATACTAAGCCATATGTTGAAGACTTTTTGTTTTATTTAATTAATGCTTTGTTTTATTAACTAGTAACTAGTTTTATTAATTAATTAGTTTTTATTAATTAATTATAATAGTGTTGCATTATGGTAAGGGTTTTGCTAGCTGATTTGCAAATCTAATTTACTATAAAAATCAAAAAGTACTGAAAAATGACAAATAAAAAAAATAATACTATTACTAATTAATTTAAAAAAAAATTACAAATATATCATTAGATTCACTAATTAAATTTGATCATACGAATAAATTTGTATTAACTGTTAACTCAATGAAAAGTATCTCTAAAAATAGTATACAACCTATAATATAAAAAATGGATTATTAGTGAGAACCCTTCTATCATTTTTTTTAATATTGATGGGTCTATCCCATTTTCTTTTATTAGTGATAGATCCAACTTTTTTTTATTTTCAAATTTACCCTACATTCCTTATTATTCACTCTCAACTACTTTAATGGCTATTTATTTATTTTTAATTATAATATTCGTTTATTTAGTTAAAAATATTTATTTTAATTTATTTTTGATTTTAATTTTGAACTTTTTTTCAGTTTTTATTTGGAATCGATTATTAAATTTCTGAAAATAATTATATTTTTTTTAAATCAACTATTTTCGAAATCAACTATTTTCGAAATCAACTATTTCCATAATCAACTATAAATTACCGAAAAATTACTTTTTTTGTTCGTTTATTTCCCTAATCAAATACAATATTTCCGTAAACAACTACATTATTTGCAAAATCAACTATTAATTTTTCAATTTTTCTAATTCATTTTTTCGTTTTTTTTCCAGCTGATTTACCAAATCGACAAATTACTATATATTATTGAAAACAACTATAAAAAATTGAAATAAACTAAAACACGTCGAAAACAACTAAAAATAAATCAAGTACAATTTTTTTATTTTTTTATTTTTTTAATTCAATTTTTTCGATTTTATTTTTCCAGCAGATCATATTATTGAAAAAACTTATAAAGATATTAAAATCAACTAACAAAAAAAAACCAAAAATCAACTAAAAATATCAAAAACAACTAAAAACTCTCGAAACAACTATTAACAATTGTTACCATACCCGACATAAAAAAAATCCTCAAATAAAAAATTCAGAAAATTGCTCCTCAATTAACAAAATCCAAGCATTAGAGGAAGATGAATCATTGCCGCAAAATCAATTAGAATGGTCCTCCTCACATCATCCCTGCTAACTCGACAATGGAGATAAATCCTAGAACGAATAAAAAAACAAAATAGCCACAACCTGTTAATCCAATATTCAACCAAACGAAACCCTAAAATCGCGGGCATGGAAGATATGAGTTCACAGCAACGGGGCAGAACTGAATTGGAGGAGTGGAAGTCTGGCGGAGGTGTAATGGAGGAGTGGCGCGGCAGTGCGGTTGTGGGGTTCTTCCCTCACCGTTGTCAAGATGTGGTGCCGCCTTCTTCCTCTCCTTGCCGCCGCCTCCGAAGCTGCAGATTTCTAGTTAGAGAAGAAGAGAAGAAGAGATGGAGATAATATTTGACGATACACCAACTGTTGGGTAAAAAAGATGTGGCTAGGGTTTCATGTGTTAATTAGGGATAATATAGGCATAAAACCTAATAATTATATAAATATTAATTTAATTAAACAACTAAGGGGGTTCACTATTATTGAAAAAGGGAGCGGATCCATCATAATATATCCTAATGTATTAGGGGGTTCTCACTAATAATCCCTATAAAAAAATGCACGTGTAATAAATTAAAAGGGTTTTTGTGCATAGGTCCTAACCAAGCATCTTTATTATTCAAGGTTTATGGGTTATATCTCTTTCATCAATAAGCTCATCCCTTTAATAATAAATAAATAAAATATTCATGTATATGGCAAAATTATCCCCAATCCTTTATACCCAATTCTTAATTGTAACCCCAATTTAATCAATTTTGACCACAAAAATTCAATTTTGACATTTTTTTTTCAACAAAGATTATTTTGCCGCCGGATTCCGGCGTTGACTTTTTTAAGTGTATTTTTTCTAGTTTTTTAAGTTTTTTTTTTGGTTTTGTTTTGCTTTTTTTTTTTTTACGCCCGCCGCTAAACGTTGATTGTAATTGTGTTGTCACTGACAATCAATTAACGTAATTATACTGTCAATGACAGTTAATTAACATATTTGTACCGCCGTTGACAATACATTTATGTAACTGTTCTGCCGTTGACAGTAAATTAACGTAATATTATTATTTTTTTATTTTTTGTTATTTTTTTTAATTTTGTTTGATTTGTTGACAAGTCAATGTAATTATATTACTATCGTTGACAGTAAAAAAACTGTAAACACAATAATATTAGTGTCAACAACATCAATATTATTGTTTTTTTGGGTTTTTTTGTTTTGTTTGAGTTATTCACGGAGTAACGTAATAATATTACTGTCTATTATTGTAATATTACTGTAAACACAATAATATTACTGTTGTTGATGGTAATATTACTGTTGTTATAGTAATATTGCTGTCAACCACATC